TCTCCTTGGTCATGTGCCCCTGTGCAGTGTCTATGGATTCGAGGGTCCAGTTAGGCTGCCTCTTGAGACTGAAACACAGATAAAAGTGTTTCAACTTATCCTCTAGGAAGCCACAGAAGACCTCATAGCTTTTTGTTTTGAGGAGTTGTTTTGTTTTAAAGAAAGTAGAAAATGGCTGAGATAATTGCATCTGTGAATCCTGAGGATAGAAAATCTCTCTGATTAGGTAGGAGGTGTTTGGGGGCTAAGAGCATGAAAGTAGCAACTGCAGGGATATTCTGTATCTGTGAGCTGCGTTTGGCTAGAAAGTGCAGATTATGGCAGGCTTTGATCCTCAGGGCTGTACTGTTAAATATCCACGAGGGTGCTGTTTAGAAGGCCTGTGACTGGACTGGAATGGGAACCATCTCTGCCAGAATGAGAGAGGTGGGCCTCAGAGTTCCATTCTGCAGATGCAAAAGTTCTGACCCCAGAAGAGACAAGTAGTGGACTTGGAATGGGGCGCTCGCCTAGGAGAGGGGTGTGGAGTGGGCACTGTTGCTGCTGTGGCTGGGAAAATGTTTCCCCGTGTGCATAATCAGCTTGGTTCTACACTGGCCTATTAGTGAGGGCCATCCCTTTCCGCTTCGCTTCGTTTTGATCCCGTAGTCAGCTGCAGAGTTATAGATGAAGTGACAAGGATGGCGTCTTGATTGGATCCAGCTGCTGGAGTAAGACAAGGACAGAGGAGCCCAGAAAGAGCAGCACTCAGGAAAGGCTCCAAAGGAACCCCAGACTCAGGACACCTCTGTGCCTTACAGCACATTGTAGTGTGGCAGTCTGTGACTCGATGTCATGGATTACATCCCGGGGGGAAGGCTAATAAGTGATGCAGGCCAACAGGAAGGATCTCTTGTTGAAACCTTAACAGCATTTGACCCTAAAACTAAGCAGATAATCATAACGATAATAATGAAAAGGAGATGAAAATGATGTTGGATGAAGCCTGCTGTTGAGGCAGGGGAGAGCTGCTTTAAAGAAGGAGATGACTTGCCTTCCTTTGATTTGAGTATAGAGCAGTGTTAATTCCAAGTCAACAGGAAAGGCAACTGCCATCCTCAGCAGTGCAGGCAGAGTTGGACACAGCCCTACATCTTACCATTCCAGCTGCTTAGTTGTGTATGGGGGGGGAGAGGGGCTTCAGGCGTGCTAGGGTCCACTGAGGCAGATTGGCCAGCAGGGTGCCAAGGAAAAAAGGTCTGTCCTGGCCCACAGACAGAAGTTATGGCTTAAACTACTGTTTCTGGCGTGCCTCTATAAAACCATAATAGCATCATACTATTTTAGTCTGCTGAAATACGCACTTCATTCACACAGAAAGAGCACACAGCAGCAGCTCACACAGCCGCCGGAATGTCTGACATGGATTCATGTCTACAGCTATTAGGATGATCCCTGTAGCCCATTAGCTCTGTTGGTTACAACATGGTGTTAATGAGGACAAGCCTGTGAGTCTGAGAGCCCTGTCAGGTCACACCAGGGTTAGCTCTCCTCATCACCCCAGGTGACATGCCTACAGTGCAGGTTAGATGGTCCATAAAACCTAGAGATGTTCAAGGAAGCCTTGGCAGAAACAGTGTAATGGCTCAGCAAATATCCCTCCCCAGCTTCTGGAAAAGCAGTTTGAACATGTGACTTGGTGTGGGAGACTGCTCCTGTGCCTATCACACTTGGGACCCTCATGTTTGTCGCTGACACCAGCCACTGCTGGTGTGGGATGTCGTCCTCCTTCCACGGTTGTATGCACTCCTCTGGCTGTGATGAAAATGAAGGATTCTCTCTCCCTTCCCTTTCCAGCCCCGTTGTGCCCTTAGCAGCAAGTGTGGAGTGTTGTGGTGTGCTTGCTGCTGTTCTTCATGTTTTGATACCACAGTGAGTAAGAGTCTCTGCCTTAATCCAGTGGGAACTCTCCTAGAGAGAATTAAATAATTGCTAACTAAAGTGATAGCACAAGTGAACATTTGATAAAGAAAAGCAGGGAGTTGCAAGTATGTGACAGGGGGGCTGGGTGTGGGTGACATTTGTCTGATATGGGAAGCTAAGAGTCCTATTGAGGATGTTGATGCTTAATGAGAGGCACAATTGATGATAAGGAGCCAGCCTTTTGAAGGTGGGAAAATGTTCCAGAAGACACAGCAGATGCAAAGGGCTTGGGGTCCAGTCATGATCACAGAGCACAAAGGAGAGCATGTTAAAGATGGTGTGGAGGTGGGTCCTTAGCAGGCAGATACTCTGGTATTTTCTTGGTGAAATAGGAAGACATTTCTGTTCGTTTTAGAGGTGGCATCTCAAAGGTTTCCAGGAGATAATAGGGGTTGAAATGTGTCCCCCCATAAAGGATGTTTGAGTTGTGACCCTCAGTACCTCAGAGTGTGACTTTATTTGGTAATGGGCCTTTCAGAGGTGCCCACGTTAAAATGAAGCTACCAGGGCAGGCCCTGGACTGTCAAGATTGGAGTCAGTGTATAACAAGAACTAGATAGACATACTTGAGTGAGGGACTTGGTCCCATGGGAATGGAGGTCTAAATTGATGCATATATTGGCCAGGAAAAGACAAAACAACTGGTAACCAAGCACCAAAAGCCAGGGACAGTCAGGGAAGGATCTTTGGCAACAGGTGGCAGTGGGACATGGCCCTGACAAAACTTGACTCAGGCTTCTCCTCTCCTGAACTTGATGTGGTTCTCTTAGGAGAGCTGCAGGAGCTCAGAGGAGGGAAGTAGCTGCCAACACCCTGGCTGTGCCCTGGAGAATGGCATCCACATGCCCTCCTTAGGCTCAGTGTCGTTGCATTGTGGGAAACCTGCTTATCACTCTGGAACAGGACTGCATTGCTTCTCTAGAGAAACGTGTAATAAAGATATTCATGAAACAATAGAACAAAGCCTAGTGGCTGAATGGTGCAGAATACTTGTCCTTCTAGACTGATTCTGTTAGAAATGCTGGGCAAGTTACTGTGTGGAAGGACAGGAGGTGCAGCATGGAGATGAAGAAGTGGCTGTCACGGGCTCTGATTGGAGCTCCAGGGAGTGGCAGGGGTGGTAGCTAGAGGTAGCCAGCAGGACTTTGTAATTGATCCAGAAAGGGGGATGAAGGCTGCATGCTTGAGGAGCTGGAGGGCGAGTGACTGAGGTAGAGAAGCTTGAGGGATCTTCCTGGGCTATGGGATTGAGTTTTGTTTGGGCCACTGTTAATGTTGTTAGCTTTTCCTGTAAACATCATCCTAGACAGGGGACCAGTGACAAACTGAAGGAACACTTCTACACAAGTCCAGCTGGCTGAACTGACAGTTTTATTGGAATTACTTACAGGCACATGAGTGACCCCCAAAAGCTGCATTGCAGAAAAGTCCCACCCCAACATGGATGCCCACTTCCCCAAAACAGTATTAAGGTGAAGTCCCCTTCAGTGACTTTCCACCTCCTATATACAGAAGCACCTCCTGAGACCACATGCAGCCTGGGAAGGATTGCAGGCAGCTGGGGGAGGGCCTTATAGGAGATAGGAGGTGGCTGGAATCTCAGGGGAAAGTATGCCGACCTTCCCCGTCCCTGATTCTCTTCAACAGGCTGGTCTGGTGAGGGACTGGTCAGGTAATCACAGCTGTTCAGCTCACAGGGTAGTGGCCGTGTCTCACTCAGAGTATCACACTGCACAGCTTAGTGAGACCCTCTAATTACCCAGGTGGAGATAACCTAAACAATGTTTGGCATCTTAGTGGTTTGCAAGGCTGAACAGACATGAGGTCATGAAACTAGAGCTAGGATTTAAAGTGATGGCACAAGATGAGAAAGTAAGAGGGTACCATCCTTTAGACCTCTACTACAGGCTGAGCCAGCCTAGGAGACAGAGAAGCGTGACAAGCAGGGCAGCAAAATCGGGCCTGCTTAAATGAGCTCTTTATGTGTGGGGGGTGGGAACTGGGGGAGTAGTGCAGACTTTCACTCCATTATGCATTTATTGTGGCTGTGCCACGGTGAGCATGGGGAGGTCAGAGGACAGCTTACGGGAGTCGCTTGTCTCCTGGTGTCATGTGAGTCCTAGGGTCATCAGGCTTGGCAGGAGGTGATTTCCCAGCAGGCCATCTCACTTGGTCCCATGTGTACTGGTTAGTGTGCTTGTGTGCACGTGTATGCGCAGGTGTAAGTGTCCGAAGTCAAATTGCTGTCTTCCCTTGATCAGTTTCACCTAGTTCTTTGAGATAAGTTTTGACCTTGAGCCTGAAACCCATCGATTTAGGTAGGCCAGCTGGCCAAAGAAATTTAGGGGTCTGCCTGTCACCGCCCTCTCTGCTGTGGCTCAAAGGGGACACTGTGTACCTGCTTTTTCCCTACATAGGTTTTAGGGATCTCAAGATCCTGAGGTGTGCAAGGCAGGCACTTGAGCATCCCCTCAGCCCCCTCCTTGGATCTAAAGGTCAAACCAAATCACATGGGAGAAAGTGCCAGAAGTGTCTCATGGGTGTCTAGGATACCGTGTTCTGTTCACCCAGAGCATCATCACCGAGGACCTTCCCAAAGAGAGAAATCAGCTGTCATTACCAGGACGCTCCAGGGCATCAGGTCATCAAGTGCTGATTCTCAGGCCGCACAGGGAAGTGCCACCCTACCAGACCCCGCCCAGAGTTCACACAGTGAGATTCATTTTATTCATCAAACAGCTGAGTTCAATTCTCTAAATGTATGTTGTGCAAAGGAGGGCAAGGCATCCAGTTTCATGTCTGGCTGGCATAGGCAATACTCAGCAAGCCCTTCTTCCACAGGACTTAAAAGGGCCAAGTACGCACATGACATTCTAGAAGAAATCAAAACCCTTGTGTCTCTGAACTCTGGTAGAACACTGGCACCTGCTCAGTGGAGTCCTCAGAGGCCCATGTGGTCTACTGAGGCCAGTCTGGGAAGCTCAGTACCAGAGGTCATCTGAGCCAGGGATGGCTTATTGGTGTGTTTCTGTCCCTAGGTCTGGCGGGAATTTCCTGACCGGCTGGTGGGCTACCCAGGCCGCCTGCATCTCTGGGACCATGAGATGAACAAGTGGAAGTATGAGTCTGAATGGACCAATGAGGTGTCCATGGTGCTCACGGGTGCAGCTTTCTATCACAAGGTAAGGGGTGTGGGCACATGTGCTTGCGGAGCCTGTTTGATTCGCTTGTTTAATTTTCTGGAGGCGGAGCTTTGTTTAGGAAAAAGGGTTTACCTAGAAAGCCTAGAAAAGCTGTGTTGTATGGTACCCCTCCTAAATATAGAAGCGCCAAAAATTCCGATCACCAAGGTGAGGGAAAGTCGCTGTCCTTGTGTCACTTAGAGGCAGTGTGGTTGTGAGATGCTTCCCTCCGCACACACACACCTAGACGGTTGTACACATTCTCATCTGCCTACCGTCTCGCTGTTAATGGTGTTTCCTCATGTCATTAATCTTTCTTCGAAAACAGTTATTTTGTGATAAGCCACTGTGTTACTGTTCCTTCAATTACATGTATTTCTCTACCATTGGGTATTTAACTTTTCTCATTTTAGAAGATGCTAATATCTAATGCTTAAGTAGCGGTTTATATTGTCTTTATAGCTTTGTGGTTATAGGCATTATGGTAGGTTCCTAAAGGCAAAATTACATCAGAGGGAGTGATTCCATGGGTGGTTTTTGTTTGTTTGTTTGTTTGTTTGTTTGTTTTTGTTTTTAGATTCCTATATTGTCAGTGCCAACAAAGACATCAAACTGGCCATCTTGGCCTCCTTTGCATAACAGTACATTTAGAAAATTAGCTGTTTTGTTGAATAAAATCAATCTTGCTATGTAAGCTGGCAGTTCCTTACGTGTGCTCTGACAATCAGCACCTCATGGGTTTGACCTCTTTTTAAGATTTTCCTTTCCGAGGTTGAGGTCTACAGATCTAGTACCAGGACAGCCAGGGCTACAAATAAAAACCCTGTCTTGAAAAGCAAAGAACAAACAAACAAAAATACTTACTTTTATTATTTCTAATTATGTAGATGTGAGGGGACAGGGTTATATGTGTATGAGCACAGGTCCCTGCAGAGCCAGGGGTGTTGGGTCCCTTGGAGCTGTAGCTACAGGCAGTTGTGAGCCACATGCTGAGGGTGCTGAGAAGCGAACCCAGGTCCTCTGCGAGAGCAATAGCTTCTCTTGACCCCAGCCCCTTGACGTGTGTGTATGTGTGTGTGTGTGTGTGTGTGTGTGTGTGTGTATACACACTTAGGACAATGTGGTGGACTATGCTTTTAGTTTTCGAGTATTTAGCCCAGCTCTGGCATTCTCTCTGGAAGCAGAGGTTTGAGCTAAAAAGAATAACTCATCTATTGTCAGCAGGAAGAGCTGATGCATAGAGCACTGTAGAACACGGTGCAGCTCCTTGGCTGCTCTGCTGGTGTCAGCTCATCACTGCTATTCCCACTTTTTTGTTCCCATTCTCCTGAGATGATAGGTCAAGACGTAAGTTTCAGTCTTAGTAAAACAAAGTGGCCTACCGTTTATAACTTCGGGAGTTTATCATAATGGTGTACATTCTTGTCTGTTTATGAATTTGTTTTTGCAGGCAGGATCTTGCTAGGTCTCCAGGCTGGCTTTGAACTCACAATCTTCCTGCCTCAGACTCACAAGTACTGGGACTGGTGGAACACACCTCCACACCTGGCTAATTATTTTTGACCCATTAATTTCTAGTTCACTCATGGAGCGTATGGAACTTTCAGGTTTGCCGTGCTCTTGTTCTGCTGCTAAAAGCACATGCCTTCCCTCTTAGCTCATTGCGTGGCCCACAGAAAGACCTGCTGGGGTGTTCTCATACCACTTACATGTTTGGCTCACACTCTGTATTAATAGGAAGACAATGGAAATATTTGTTTTATGACACACCTCTGATCTGTTTCATGTAATATTCATAACTAAAGCTTTCTACCTTGTATTTATTTGAATGTTTTCACTTAATAGGGGACTCCTAGGAAAATGAGCTCACTACATTTGGTACAGTCCATCTGCTCTTGTCGTTTACCCAAGAGTCTCCATTAAAGCAAATCTTAATTTAAAAAAAGGCACATACCTACCATTTATTTTTTTCACTCTCTGTATGTATGTTTGTGTGTGAGTATGTGTGTGTGCTTAGTGCACAGCAGCCTTGGCAGTAAGTGCTCTTACTGTGAGCCATCTTACCAGCCCATTTTAAAAGAACTGGCCACTTTCTTTTCTTTTGTCCTTCCCACCAGTAAAGTCTTATGATTAATCTTGTCCCTATAAATGCCAGCCAAAAAAATTCCTACGTGTATATGTCTTCATTTTTGTCTCACGTGACAGTATTTTAATTACCTGTATACCTACAAAATGCCTGGGGACATCAAGAACTGGGTAGACGCTCACATGAACTGTGAAGATATTGCCATGAATTTCCTGGTGGCCAATGTCACAGGAAAAGCTGTCATCAAGGTAAGAGTCTGTGCCATCCCCTTCCTTGGCTCTCTGGGACTCAAGAGAGTTGTTCCCTGGCTCTGAGAAGCTCGAGGAATTAGAAGTAGCTGCTGATGTCTCTGAAGAGAGTAATGATTGTGCAGTTGTCCCGATCCTTGGTTTGAAAGATCCAACTACCAGTGTTTTGAAGCACCTTTGCCTTAACATACTAAGAGCCAACCCACATACTATTTGGGTCTAAAAAGGTTTATTTTTGAAACTCTATTTGTTCAAATCAGAGCCCAAGTTCCAGCTCAGTAATGGAAGCCCATTTATATAGTCAGAACCATCCTTACCTCCTGGATTAGAACTCCATGTGAAATCAGGCAGTCCTAGGGGTTTCTGGACTGCTGGTGTCAGTCACCATCCTTGGAGTGTGAACATGAACATCCTTGGCTGTGAACATGAACAACATCTCACCGAGTCCCCCATCATGTCCCACAGTGACTCAGAGGGCAACAGAGTCCAAGAAAAATGGAGGAGTATAAATTGTGAGGGCTGCTGTTCAGGGACCCCAGACCTTGAACTTCTTTTTTTAACACGTGTTTAGCCTTCGCCACTTACTGTGGGTGGAGTCTGTGAGTCTTGACTTTGCCCTGGTTCCTGTTTTCATCCTCCTATCCTTTGGTATCCATCTCCACAGCAGCTTCCCCTGGCTTTGTTTGCTGGAATGAGCACCAAGACTCTCCATTTGGGGATGGGGTTAAGAGGAGTCAAGGAAATGGAGCCTCGGGGTGAGGGCTGGTTAGTTTCTTCCTGACCAAGGGAATTGAGAGTGAGCTGGCATCTCCAGGAGAAGTGCTGCCCCAGCCCTGGGCCTTCACAGGGGAAGGCAAAAGACTGCCTGTTGGAACTAAGGTTAGGCTGCAAGTTGTGGGAGGCTGTATTTCATCGCCCTCATGACTGCAAGAACAAATGGTGTTTATACAAGGACCTTGGCAGTGAGAAAACAGTCATTAAACAGGAATTAAGGAGCTTGTCATCACGACTTCTTTCCAGTTACAGAAGGCGTAAGCCCTCCAAGCCGCTTTTATTGGGCCTTTGGGAGTTCTGTCGTTGGCCGAGGCAGCCCAGATTGAATGGAGGAATGCTGAGGTGTGTGTGCGCATGTACATGTGCGCATACATGCACGGGTGCACAAGGCGCCCTGCTCGCCGCACAGAGGCCTGCACGGTGGCATCATGCCATGGCTTTCTAGTCCTGGCCATTGACAGCGAGGTGTGTTCTGCTTTCCTCGGCAGGTAACCCCCAGAAAGAAGTTCAAGTGTCCTGAGTGCACAGCCATCGATGGGCTCTCACTAGACCAGACTCACATGGTGGAGAGGTGAGTGTGCCTCTGAGCAGAAGGCCACCCCAGCCTCCATCCCCACTTCCTGCCTGGGCCTATTTAGGGGACTTTGTTGGAGATACAAGGACAGCAGCTGGAAGCCAGTCACCTCCTTTTGCACTGTGGGAATTGAATTAGTTCAAACTCAGGTCACCCAGTGAATTAATTCGGGATGCTACTCACTCAATTTGTAATGGCTGGAAGGGCCTGAAAAATATGGCTGGCCTTAAGCTCTGGAAGCCAGGTCCCTATGTGGACTAAATGGTTAACTGTCTGCAGTCACATGAATGCAAACAAGCTCCAAGGAAACACCACTGTGTTTCTCTAGGTAATAACTTTGTGCTGCCATAATACTTGATTAGAAAGAATTAAACCCAACCCAGCAGAGACCAAATGCTTCCACTGGCCCCACTATGTCACCTGCCAAGGGCAGGATTGAAAGCCAAGCTCTGACGGTTGGGACAGCAGGACCACTCTAAACCATTCTGTCAGTTGCCAGCAATCACACTTGAGTGTGTCATGCGTGTCTTTCTTCAAGACCGTTAGAATCCTCACAGTCTCCAGCCTTCGCAGCTCCTGAATCAGACTCATTCTTCTAGAAGCCCCTCCATACTTAGGACCTCAAGCTCTAGCATCTATCAGCACAGTTGTCAAGGGACCCAAGTTACTCCAAGAATGCTGCATTAGCCCTTCAGAGGAGCCTCCAGCTCAGGTTCCCACCGATTGGCATGTGCATCTGCTGACAGAGTTCACTTCTGAAGTCCATAGCCACAAGAAAATCCCCGCCCCTCCCCCACCCTTTCTGCTTGTTCTTTGCTTCTGTTATATTTCATTTCTTCCAACTCTAAGTAACCTTGTTAGCTCCCTCATAGAGATATCTTATTCAAAAGCCACAGTTTCTACCAACAGTTGATATGAAATCATATATGAGTGTCCCCTGTAACACTGCAAATGCTGTAAGAATGGCCGAGGTAATTATCTACCATAGCTCATTGGGAAGAGGCCCCAGTTGTAATTCTACCAGAGTACGTGAAATGGTTATTAAAACCTACCTTACTCCCTGTGTTGGGGAGAATTCATAGCATTAAGGCAAGTGGTTGTCAGTGGAGTTAAATGGGTTACAGGACAGGGAATTGAGAAAAGCTGGCCTGAGGGCGACCCCGAAGTTCATGCTGGGGTTGCACATCTCATCTCTAGCATGAGAGCATAGCAGTTTGAAAGTTGTGCTAAAGGCCGGGGCAGAGCACTGGGGAAGATGCTTCGATGCCCGGAGCAGGGGGAGCAGGGAGCTGTGGAGGCTGCTGCAGAGGTGACCTGTGACAACACGGGCCTGGGTGCTGACCCAGTGCACTCTGAGAGTGCTCAGGAGACTGTTAGAGCTTAGTATTTCCTATTTACCAACAGGGGCTTACATACCACAGGCACATATGTGCTTATACGTATATAAAACCTAACCCGAGTTTGTGTGCATCCCCAGAGGAAAGTGCAGTTTATGAGACTTAGAGGCAAGACGGGAACGTTCTTATCAGGTGGGTCACTCAGGATGATTTTGTCAGAAGTGGCAACATGTGAAGGGAGGCTTCGGAAGTCACCAGGAGGCTGGCGAGATGCTCAGCAGTTAGGAGCACTTGCTGCTCTTCCTGAGGACCTGAGTTCAGTCCCCCACACCCAACTCCAGCTTCAGGAAATCCAGTACCCTCTCTGGCCTCAACAGGCATCTACACTCATACTCAGATGGCAAGTGCATGTGCGCGCACACACAAATACACACACACACCTTTAAAAAAATCTCACCAGGACCTCGATCCTCTGAGTTGGACAAGGAGGTGAGAGGGAGGGGAGCTGTGAAGCCAGGTCATCAGGCTCAGGCTTTGGCAGGCATGAAGAGAGTTCACTTTGAACCAGTCTGCAAGGACTCTGAGCTCCTAATTAAAGGGCTTGAGTTTTTCCTTCAGGATCTGAAAGGCCATCAAGGATTTGAATAGGGGACTACCTTATTCAGGGGATTTGCTCTTCAATTAATTTAAAGCATTAAATTTCAAAATGCACTGGCAACTTGAGCAAAGGTCCATGGAGCACTGACTTAAGAAATCATGCACTTAGGCTGAATGAGGGAAGATGGTTCGAGGTGTCTAGAGAGCTGAGGAGCTGGTTCATTGTACAGCCCTGCACTTGTTCTGTTTATCAATGGTTCCCTTTATACAACACATTTTTCACAACCTCATGGCAGTAGAGACTGCTTCAACCATCCTTTGACCTTGTGTTGAGGCCTGGGGTTCAGTCTGCTTCTTTAACCGTAGACTTGGAGTCTGCAGTCAGAACTGCCAAGTAGGAAAGTAGCTTTTACCCATTTGAGTCTGCTTCCAGGAGCTGCTAGATCATGAAGAACCAGACGTTTTAGCTATTTTCTTTGACCAGTATCATTGCCAAGGGTACCATGACAGATGATGTTGTTTTAAAGCAGTGTTTTATGCCCTGTCTTTTCCAGTCTGGCCTAAGGAAGCTGGTTTATCTTGCCTGAACTTCAGTTTTCCATTATATATCAAATTGTAGTGCCTGTTCATAAGCTTATAAACAGATATGGCCATCTTTGTACCAAGCACTATGTGACATTCTGGGAACAAAAATAAATATACAGGCTTGAAAACCTGTGACCCAGGTTGGGCCCAGCCATGTTCATTATACCCAATTTCCCTGACACTATCCAAAAGGCTCTATATGTATGACAGAAAAACAAGCTCCATAGTCCTTTCTTCCCCAGATACTTCCAGCAGGCAGACACAGACCCTGGCAGTTTGGTGTGCAGCCCTTGATTAGAAAAGCAGAGTGGGAAAAGAAAGGAGCCCTGATGGGGTGGCTGGACAAGGACAGTGTGACTCAGGTGAGCCCTCCCAGCCAGTCACGCTCTCTCAGCCTGCTTATTCCCTAGCCAGATCGCCTGTGGGAGGAGAGCGAAGGCAGCCGAGGGAAGGACCTTTACTGTCAAGAATGACCTAGTATCACTTTCCCAGCACAGACTATGTGGAGGAAAGAGACACCTACCAGTGCAGGACCAGCCTGGGCAGCTGCTGCAAGCCAGGCCGTCCTGAATCTCTGTGGCAGCTCTCCAGTGACCCAAATGGCAGATCTGGTTACAGAGGAGATGTCATCAGTACTCCCCACAGGCCTATGAGCCACTCTACCCGGCAAGAGCTGTGGTCCTTTTATGCAGGCACCAAGACCCTACACTGGGCCTGGCAGGGAGCTAGAGGTGAGGAGTTGCCGCTGTGTGCATATAGCCAAGAAGAGATTCAGGCTTGCCCGTGCTGCTTTGGCCTTGTGATTAAAGAGCAGGACGCTGTTGTGACTGGTCCCGTCAACTTATCCCTCTTGTCTCTCTCTCATTCTTTTTAAATTCTTTTTATTCTTGAGGCTTTCGTGCTGCACACAATGAAATGTATCTATCACCTATCTCCCTCCAAATCCCTGCCCCTTTCCTTTCAATATATTTCTCTCCCAAGTATATGTGTTTTTTTTTTTTTTTAATAACCCCCTAAGTTCAGTTAGTATATGCATGGATATGAGGACATTCCCTGGACATCCACCTACCAGTGTTCACATCCTCAGTAAAGAATGGTTCTCCCTCTCCCAGCAACTGTCCACTGCCAGTACCTCCCGGCAAGGGGTGGGGCCTGGAGTTCATACACCCCATCAATGCTGGGATTTTGGCTGGCTTCCTCTTGATCAGGTCCTGTGTAAGGAACAGTAGCTGCTATGAGTTCATATTTGCAATAACTGCACCATGTCTAGAAGACATGCACCCACTGCACTTCTGCCCATCCCCTAGTTCTCTCATTCTGAGCACTCAGCACTTACGAATCTCTCTGTTGACTTCTGCCCACTACATAAAGAAACTTCTCTGACCAACATTGAGAGCAAGCCAGGACTGTTAAGTATAAATGTATGTATTCAGAAAGTAGCTTGGCAGCTTCTACCATTTATCAAAGTAATAGCAATACATTCTACCCTGGACCCATGACCGTGGGCTTTGACTGTATAAAGTTATGAAATTCCCTCCTGTGAAGTAGGCCTTAAATCCAGTCAGAAAGCAACTGTCATGGCTTACCCCGTGACAGTCATGCTACTGTTGTGAGTGGCATGAGTGGACATAACTTGTGTTGAAGCCTGCATAGCACTTCCAACACTGTGAAAGCTAATGAACAGGGAGACAGTTTCTCAATCAGTTTGAGACTAATTTCTGTGTCCTTCTTCCAAAGTGAAATAATGTCTTCAGCAATAAGGTCTTACCATATGGTTTCATGGTGTGTGGTCAAGGGCAGTAGCAATAGACTGTGCTGTCTTGGAGACTTACCATTAACTTATAGGGAGTCATCCCATGTCTTGCATGGTAACTTCATTAAACGACCCATATCTTCTGGGAATAGTATTGTCCACCCATGCATAGTAATTCCATAGAATACATAGGAAATAAAAGAAGTGGGGGAATATTAGGGGTTAAAGGGTTAAACAGGGATGGGAGGGGAGAGAAGTAGGTAGTGGGAGCCAAAACTAAGGATGTATGAAAAAGCATATAGAAGCCCACTAGTTAGTAAAATGGTCTCAAAATACCGCTGAGAGAGAGAGAGAAGAAGAGGAGGAGGAGAAGAAGATATCTCCCCATCTTTCATGGGTCTTCCCATGCTGAGTCTCAGAGATGGCAGAAATTCAGCTTCCATGGGTGGTGGAGTGCAAGTTTGAATCCCAGTTCTTCCGCTTGCTATCCCATTATTCTCAGGCTACCTAACCTCTCCAAACCTTTATTTCCCTCACCTATAACATGAGGTTAATATAAACTCGGGCCTTGGGCAAGAGAGTTGAGGATGGGAGAGCAGTACTTTAACAAATCAGTAAGATGTGAAGGTAAATTATCTGGCACAGAACAGAGGTTCTGGAGTTGTGCCCCCACCCCCAGCTGGACCACACAGTTAGGTTAATAAGTAAATTTGTCTCATCACTCAGTCTTTAGTCTCCAGAGCTGGAACCCCTGGGTTTGGCTCTGGCTTTGGCACATTGTGTTTTATTATATTTTTAACTTCTGCAAATCAGCCTCTTAGTGCCTCAGCCTTCCCACTAAAGACTAGGATGCAGGAAGCATGTGAGCCCCAAGGCTGTCATGAGCCCTCTGTCCCGAATCGGTTCCAAGTGGAACATCTAATGAACATTACCTCTCTGTGATGTTGGTGATCTGTTGACACTAGTCCAAAAGTCCATGTTTCAGAGGTGCAGCCTTTTTAGCAATGGAAGAAGGAAGTGAAGGGGTGATGGTGGCCCTAACTGAAGGACTCCTTCAGGAGCCCAAAGCTCTCTCTGTTTACATATATTGGAAGCAGCTTATGGTGCCTCTGGAGAGGTGGCCGGAGAGCATCTTGAAGCTGGCTCCTGCCTGTGACCATTCTCTCATCAACCTTCCTTGCTATAGCTCCCAGGGCCAGCTGCCTGAGCAGGCACTGACCCTCTGAAATCCATCCTTCTGGGTTCCAACTTCAAACGAGCTTTTTCCCAGGCTGCTTTTTCACTCTGGCCTGGTGCTGACGTCCTCATTACCCAGCTGTCACACTCAGTTGGCCTGACTGACCTGAGCCATTGCCATAAAGGGAGGCTGACCCGCTCCTCTGAGTGGGGGTGGGGAGGTCCAGCTTTGAGGGGCTAGGGGAATAGAGGAAACCCTGGCTCTGCAGTGTTCAACTCTTGTCACCAAGTTCTTGTCACTTTTGCTCGTGGTTCTAGTCTAGGAGTGACAAAAGTCACATCAATTATGCAGAAAGCCCTCTGTGAGCTCTGGCTGGGTTAGAAAAGCAATGCTCATGGCTGAGTATTTACAGGCCTTCTGTGAGTACTGGGAAGCTAAGTGCTTATTGCTTGAACTCCATCCATGAGTGATGGGGAGCTAAGTACTCATTGCTTCAAATTCAGTCACCAATCCCCCATCCCTCTGCCTGGCATGGATAGAACCCTTTCTCCCACATCCTCATCTTTAGCAGTCAGATCTGTTTTCCTTTCCATCTTCCTCCTTCCCTATAGCTGGCAGAGATGGGGTTAAGGATTGCTGAAGCTAATCCACCTGGGTTTGAGGCCTGCTAATACTGGAAAAATGACTGGAATTTGAGGGGGATGGGCAGATGTCCTGACCTGCAAGCCTGCAGACAGCATCCCCTGTTCACTTTCTCCCTCTGAACTGAGCCAGGGACCTCAGGTCGCCTTGCTTTCCATCAGGGCCTTTTGCAGAGCCCTGCAATGGGCTAGGTGCCCTTTCATCACCTTTCAGTTCTCTTGTGGCTATGCTGGGCTTTGCTGCCTCTCAGTAGCTAACCACTTCCATTCTTCTTGTCCCACCCGCTCATCCACCCCACAGGTCTGAATGCATCAATAAGTTTGCTTCCGTCTTCGGGACGATGCCCCTCAAGGTGGTGGAGCACCGAGCTGACCCCGTGCTCTACAAAGATGACTTCCCTGAGAAACTGAAGAGCTTCCCCAACATCGGCAGCTTGTGAAGCGTGCCATGTCCCAGGGCTGTGGAGGAGCCCAGCTAGGCCCTGCAGCATTCACGGGAGGCCAGCCTGGCTCAAACCTCCCCCAAACACACTGGACCCTCTTGAGCTGTACAGCCTGCTTTGTCCTCCCATCTCCAATGGACTCTGAAAATGCCAAAGAAAGGAAGCCTCAGGGACAAGCTGCAGTTCTGAGCCCAACATACCGCTGTTGGCTTGCAGACCCAGTTTACCATCTCACTGGCCCTACAACTGCCTATAGCTGGTCAGCCGTCCAGTTTTAGGTCCTGGAGTCACAGTAAAGGCATGCATATCAGCAGACTCTGGATGAGCAGCTGAGCCTAGAGTGTGCTGCAGATCTCTGAGAGTTGGAACTGTGCTTGGGACCTGAATCACAGGCCCAGCCGGGCACACAGCAGAAGAGCATGGGCTGCCAACACATGTCCTGACATTCCCTGGACAACTCTTTGTTTTGGCCTTTTTGATATGATTAAAATTATTTTTTATTCCTTTTCCTTCTGTCTAGGATGCTGGTTCTTGGTTATGCAAGGACCCCTCCTTGTTTTGTGTAAATAACCCTGTCTTCTGCTCTGACAACCATCTGGGAAGCTGTAGCTAGGAGAGACACAGCTCCATTTGCATCAAGTAAGAAGGAACCGTGAACATCCTCAGAGCAGATGAATCTAACGGTCCTTCACCCTCAGCCTGGATATTTCACAGGTGTGCTTGGGGAAATGGGAGGTCACCCCAACTCCTACTGTGTTGTAAGAGATGGGGGCATTGTGACACCCTCCCCCCACCTCCCTAAATGGATGCCCAGGATCCCTCATCCTTTTACTGTAGCTGTAACATTGGCCAGGGGGTCTGGCTAACGTTAAATACTGCCGTAGTAACCATGTCGCAGCAGTTGCCGGTATATTTAAATCATTACATTTCAGCATTTCCTAATACTGCACATGTGTGAATTATACCTCTTTAAGCCCAGTTGATGAACAAATCTACTCTGGCAAATGTTAAATGTTATAGATTTGAAACAGATTTATCTGGGTCTAATATTAAGATTAGCCACAGTTTGGGCTTTAGCCATAACATATGTCCACAGAATACAAAATACATAACAATTTGCTTAGAATATGGATATAATTACGGAAACCTCGTTGTATGCCAGTCATCCTTGCTCGCACACCACCCATTGTTCTGTCAAGCAGCCTGGTGAACACTGACTTACCCAGCAGTAACATGAGAGCTAGCAGGATGGCTCAGCAGGTAAAAGCATTTGCTACATAAACCCAAGGACCTGAGTTCAAGCCCCGGAACGCACAGTGGAAGGAGGGAGCCCACTCCCACCGATGGAGAGACCAGAGGAAAGTTTCTGAAGCAGCACAATTGGAGGTAGAAATCTAGAGGGTCTTATGTTAGCAGAGGGTGGAAACTGGGGTGCTGCTGGAAGGGTCGAGGGCACATGTTGCAGATGCAAACAATGCCAGCCGCGCCTTGTTCTACGAACTGAAGGTACTTAAAGTGGTCACCAGAGGACATGGGAAGCTTCGTAGTATCACATGCACAACACTGGAGGCAGCAGGGTTGAAGCCCAAAGGAGGAGTTTCTGTTGTCACCCAGATCCTTGACGCTGACAACACTAAGGTCACCAACCTGTTCCCAAGATCAGGAATATGGGGTGGCTAGAACAGGAGAGACACTGAAACTCCAGCAGAGAGCTGGGACTGTGCTTATGGTGGGCTGTGCAACATCACCCTCAGCATGGCTGTTTCATATATATATATATATATATATATATATATATATATATATATATATATATACATATGTATATATATACATATGTATACATGTAAATATATATATATATATATATTTTTTTTTTTTTTAATTGAGGGGCCTGAGGACTTGATAAAGTGCCCACAGCACAAGCATGCAGACCTGAGTTCGGGCCCCTGTGTAGAAAGGCCAGGAATGGCAGTGCACACCTGCTGGGTACACCTTTGCTGGGGAGCCAGAGACAGGAGAATCTGTGAGTTCTGGCCAGTCGTTCTAACCAAATCACGTTCCAGATAAAAACTCAAGCCCTCTCCTCAAAAGACGAGGGTAAGTGAGGGCGACACCAGAGGCTGGCCTGTGTGCTCCATGCACACGTGCACACCTGTGACTCATATGAGCACACATGCACAAATACGTATGTAGTGTATAACACAAAAACGATTTTAATTAAAGCAAAAGAGAACTTTGGTTTTGGAAGAGGAACTGCAATCTGAGATGTTGGGAGCTCCTAGGGTCATGTGACTCTCCACTGGGTCATCGGACAGTAACAGTCGTCACAGTGTACCTCACTACTTCCAGAAAAGTTGGGGTTAGTCCTTGCAGCATAGCTTAAAGTCACAGCGAGTGTTATTTTCAGAATCATATCCTAGACTTAACTCACACCTCAAAGGTCCTGTCCGCAGGGACAGGTGGTTCCCTCAGTAGAAGCACAGGACAGAAAACATGGCGAGCAGTCAGGATTCAGAAGGGCAAGGGACTGTACCCCACCCCCTGTGTCCTGAAGCTAGCCAGCAAGCCTTGCCTAAACTTGGGTCAAGACCATCTGCCCTTGGGACGCCACAGAGCCCTGGTTTCAGAAGCAGAACAATGATGCTAATTAAAACGCCATGTCCTGGCCTACAGCAGACAACAGCTGGTTCCAGAGTAAGACATCTCTTTAAAGGAGCTGTAGCTTACTGGTCTGTAGAGAAGGCGAATCAAACTGGCCCTGGATGTGCCCCAACTGTGTGCACAGAGCCGCTGCCTTCCCCAGGGACTGGCTGGGATGGGCCTGCTGAGAATGACAAGGTTGCAAAGACTTTTTTTTATCTGATTAATTTTACTCAGATAGTTGTTCATGTTTTTTTTGTTTTTGTTTTGTTTTGTTTTTATTTTACTATGTCTTGCTCAGGCTTAGGCCAAAACCTTTTCCTGGAAAAATGGAACAAAAATGTCATCCTCTCTCTGACTTTTGAGCCCCATGATGCTCTGCTGGCCTCTCTTTAGGACACTCTAGCCCCGACTGCTCTGGCTTCCAGCCTTGCCTAACTTACAGTGCTGTGAGCTCACAGTTTAAGCTGTGAGACACTGTGTTCTCTCCTGAGATGTGCTGGGCAGGACCAGCAGAGACAGACTCCTCTGCCCGTGTCAGCTGGGGGACTGACTAATAATCCTTGAATCTTATTTTCTTTTGGGATGATCTGACTGCAAGTGGCAAGGAAGCACAGTTTGGGGTTCAAGTCCAAGAACCTTTGATGGTTTCAACCAAGGCAAAATTAAGATGCAGAAATCATGTTAATGATGTGGTTGGGTTCAATCAAGGTTTCTGCTGGGTCCACAGTTTTTAACCCTACTGGGAGAAGACCACCCATGGCTGCTGGGCCCCATCAGCACCACTTCTTCAGTTTGTTTATTTGTTTTTTTTATTGTTTATTTTATTCAGTTTTGTTTTTGTTTTTGTTTTTCCCAGGAGATAGGTCCCATGTGTTCTGTTTTTTAGACCAGGTCTCACATTCTCCAGACTAGCCTCCAACTAAATAGTTACTGGGAGGGTAACCTTGAATTTCTGATTCTCTTAGGCAAGCCTACATCAGCTGAGCCATACCTCAGACCCCATCCCACACTGCATTGCCAAGAGCCTTCGTTGCTATGACAGTGGCCTCTTTGGGGGCTGCTTTTCTTTTTTTTTCTTGGATCCCAGATAGTCTTCTGTAGCAGCCAGGGAATCTTCCTCAGGCTGCCCAGAGAGGCCAAGGGCTGAGCTGGTCTGAGCTATGCCCAGCCACTTCCTGAGCAACTCTGGCAGGAACTCTCACAAAGCTGGCAGGTGACCCCCATCCAGGGAGACTGTGTCCTTACCTTGAGCAGCTACCCACCCCAGAGCTCTGCCCAAGTTCCAGGTCTCCCAGCCCAGGCCGGTGACGTTGGCCATGTATCCTTTTTCTACTTCCTAGAAAACCTCGGAGCAACCTTCCATACTGAGTGTACTAACCATGACGTGATGGGATGAAAAGCTGGAAACAAGTTCCCCACCCAACCCTCTCCCTGCTGTTCAGCACAGGGCAGTGGCAGGCAGCACCCACTGTAGACTGTAAATCTGCCCCTTTTTTGGGAGTTCATCTGAAGACTTAGATGCATAGAGCTCTCCTCTGTCTCCATTATCTTAGCTTCCAGGTTCCCTGGGAAAGTGGGGTTGGTGTAGGCTCACCGATTCTGGCAGCTGAGAGCAGATGGCTGGAGTGAGCCTGACAACCTCATCCCCGGCTTCCAGGCTTTTCTCATAACCAGCATCTGTGTCCAGCATTTGCTCCTCGGATGTGCAGCCTTTCTAGACCTTTTGCTTCTGGCTTAGCTGAACCCCTGGTTGAGGCTTTCTCACTCTCCTAAAGACAGCCGCCTGCTACAGGCCTGCTGAGCAAATATCTTTTGTACCAACTCTCAGGAGCTGCACGTGGGTTACGGCTGCCAGAGTGGGACTTAGTGAGACACTTAGACCAGAGACACCCATCGGGCCTTTCCACCACACAGAGCTTTCCTGGAAGAAGGTGTGGCCATGGACTTTTCTTACAACTGCAAGCTGATGTCAATGCCTCCTACACCGAAGATGAGCTCAGGAGCTGTGATTTTCTAGGAGCTCAGAGGTAGAGCAGCTAGTTCCAACCCATGGGTTTCAGAAGAGCACCATTCACACAGGGCTATCGCAGGCAGCATGCTGTCCTTTGCACTGTGCAGCTGACAGAGACCCCACCCTGTTTGCAGGGAGTTCGTCTTGGGCTGTGCATGTATCCTGAGCCCCTCATTGGCCAAGTCTCTGAGGATTTGTGTCTTAGTCCCACGCTTATTCTGGTACCTGGTGTACACCCCAACTCTATGCACAGGACTCCTCTATGTCTCTTACCATACTAGGGTATCCAGTAGCTGCCTCAGCCATACATGGGGACTCCAGAGTCTGTCCCAGCTGTATGTGAAAACTCCAGTTAGGAGGATGCTGGGAGGTGTCTTTAGGGAGTAGACTTGGGCTTCCCTTCAGGCAGAACAGAGACAGCAGGATGTCTCTGACCTTTCCCTTGTCTTACCTGGGTCTTTTCCAGATTGTACCTGGTGATGCTGGTTGCCAGCCCTCTTCTGGCCCCTTTCCCAGCTTACCCTGTTACTAGAGAGCCTAGGGGTCTGGATCCTGTCTGCCCTATCAGGGTGGATTACTGAAGGAGCAGTCTTTTGCCCCAGTCCCTTTCCTGTGCTATAAATAAGCCCCATGTTTATTTTCTTATGTTATTGAAATGAGCACTTGTGATTTGGGCCTCTTTTGACGAGTCCGGAGAGCGTCCATCCGGTGCCTGGTGAGGGCCATGGCTGGCTGTCTGCTGTCTGAAGCTATTTGGAGCCCTTTCCCTGTGTTTTGGATGTGGCTTAATTTCAATAGAAAAGGCTATATGCAGCCCTGTATCTGCTGATTTTCAGGTTTCAGCTTTCTGCCAGCCTCACTGCCTGCTTAGAAGTGAAGTTGTGTTTCTCATTACTGGGATAACAGCCACAATTGAGGAAATGAAGGAAAATTGTGCATTGGTGGCAGAACCCCTCTAGGATTTCCAGTAATCTTTCTCTGGTAGATCCTGTGGGACTCACCTTCATCTCCCTTCTGCCTACTCTGCGCCAAGTACCCTGTCCTGGCTTTCTGGATACGGGCCCAGCAATTTCCCTCCCAGCAGCCTTGGTCTTGTCACCAGTTTGGTTTGATATCTTGACAACATGGCTAAGCATGGGTTTCATTAACTCCATCTTCCCCAATGCACAGAAGATCCAAAAACCAATGGCTTTCTCTCCTTCCCTGGCCCTGCCTTGGCAGTTATAAGGAGAAATATCTATTATACTCATATGGGTGTGCCTTTCAGCCTCATGCTGTCTGTGCCGAATCTGACAGTCATGTACTGGGGTACCTGCCATGTGGAAGGCTGGAGGAGAGTAATGTCCTGAGAGAAGACCTCTTGGGAGATGTTTTTGGCTTCTTTAGCTTTGGATAGTGGACCAGAACTATCCCAATGATCATGGCTAGCTCCCAGGCTTGTCCATTTAAATTTAGGATGACCACATCCTATCACTTTTCAGCCACTGGGCTGAGACCAAACATTAGGCCACCTTCCTAGTCTCCGCACAGATTGGTCTCACTCAGTGGGGACATCACTCCAACCCGAACCCAAAGTCTACTAAGAGAACTGTATCTAACAGTAAGATTTAACTCACTTTAAAAGAAAGGACCAAGAGAAAGTAAATATTCATGCCCATGTTTTTATTCTGTAAACCATTGCTGGTTCTCTTTATTAGGAAGAAAGAATAAGAAAAAAAGGAAGGAAAGAAAGAAAAAATGATGGATTCATCGAGTTGATAAATCTCTGTTGTTATTATGTGTAAGATTCCATTCTTGCTGGGAGAACATTCCATTGAGAAAAACACCATGCCTGCTAGCAGCAGACCAACAATGTGAGACGAAAGACAACCGTGACAAGTACAAAAGAGTATCATTTCGAATGTCCACAAATACTGTGAAGACAAGATGGCAGAATGCTGTTAGAATAGGTCATGACTTGGGCATGGGAAAGTATGTATAAAAGGTGGCTAGAGAGCACATTGAAATATATCTTTAAATCCTGAGAAGCACCAAACAACAAAGATAGCAAATATGAGAGAGGAGCTATTGTAAGAACCAGTGTGTGACCTTGGCACGTGCACTAAAGGAGAGAGAGTGTTGCGAGGTGATTATGGGGAGGGAAGCCAGGGCCAAATGGTATAAAGACCATGTAGACCAAAGGATCCTGTATGCTTATCATGAGTGTGAAGGGAAGGTACTGGGAGATTTCTAAGCAGAGGGATGACAAGTCTGAATGGCATTTTAAAATAAAACATTTCAGCTACTGTGTAGAGAACAGATCATAGGGAGCAAGCATGAAAGAAAAGTCAGGTTGCTGTTTTATTCTGAGTAAGGACTAGGGAGAGGCTGGAATGAGACAGAAGCATGAGTGCTAAGAACTGATGTTGGCTAGAATGTCTACTAAATTTATTGAGAAATCAAAGGTAGGAGGTGAAAAAATTGGGGCTTACAGCTAACTCCTAGATTTTCATCCTGAATCAACTAAGTGAAACTATTAGTTGAAAAATGGCAGACTGAAGGAAGATGGGAAGGGAGTATTGAGAAGGATGGTCAAGAGTGCCTCGGGTTGGAGAGACAGCTCAGCAGTTAACAGTACTTACTGTGCTATCTTGACAGAGCCAGGATCTTTGTCCCCAAATAACAAGCCAGGTGCCCTGCAAATGCTTGTAACTCCAACTCTAGGGAATGCATGTGTTCTTCTGGTCTCATCATGTGCACAGATAGGCACAGCCCTCTATACACACACAAACATGAATACCCTTGAATAAACATATAAATAACAAAATCTTTTAATCTTTGTGCTACCTTAGACTATTGCCTTAAGATACCTGTTATAATCTAAAGGATGGTACTATTTAAACAGTTGGATACCTGGCACTTAGCAGGAAAGTTAGAATTAAAAATATAAATGGTATCTAAAACTATAGGACTAGATGAGATCCAGAGAGTCAGAGTTGGTAAGGAAGGGCCTGAGCACTGGGCCTGCTCTGTCACTACCAGGTAGGGGAGAAATGGAGACTGAGGATTTGGTGACACATTAGGAAGAAAAATTGATAAGACAGACAGTGATAAATAACAAATACATAAACTGTAGGACAACTAGCAAAAATATTTTTAAGAGGCATAGTTGCTAAGACGACATTGGAAATAGAATCCCAAAAATGTACTCAAGGGCAAAGGAAGATAAGGTAAATAATGAACAAATAAAAACAAACAGAAAGATGGTTGATTTAAATACAAATATACCAATAGTTATATTAAATGTAAATAGTGTAGGCACTGTGAATGAACTGTAGCTCTCATCAGCTAGTGCTTTACTAAGTTCTCTGGTCCATGTGTGAAAACCTTACCTCGGATACACCAGTGTTGACGTGAGTGAGTTCTCATTCTCTGGATGCCAGTTTTCAGAACCATGAGCTGAGTTCACCTCTGCTCTTTATAAATGATATGCTCTGTGGTATTATGTTATAGCAATCCAAACAGCAAGAATAATTAACACACTCTTTTAAGGAAAGTAAGATGAATTTATGTTTAAAAAGTGGGAGTGATTATATTTCTAGAATAAAAGATAAACAGTTAATATTGATAGTGATAAAGGGCCAATTCATCAATGATCAATGTATCAATCTATGCAAAATATATATATATATATATGCTTCAAAATATATAAAGCAAAACCAACTAAGAAAACCAGAATACTGGAATTATATAAGTATGCCTCAACAATGTTAGTGATTGATGAAACACGTTGATAGAGAAATATGAGTAGCACTATCAAGCAATATGGTTTAATTGATAGCTGTAGAATCCTTCAGCTACCACAGCTGAGATCCAATTTGAAAAATTGCAAGCAATGTCCACTCCAAATGTGTTGCACCAAAAGTAAGCCTCAATAACTTTAGAAAAATTGAAAACATAAGAAATACATTCTTGGACTGGAGAGATGGCTCAGAGGTTAAGAGCACTGGCTGCTCTTCCAAAGGTCCTGAGTTCAATTCCCAACAACCACATGGTGGCTCACAACCGTCCAAGATAAGATCTGGTGCTGTCTTCTGGTGATCAGGTATATATTCATGCAGAATGCTGTATACATAATAAACAAACATATCTTTAACAAGAAAAGAAATGCATTCTTTGGGCCAATGAGACAGTTCAGTAGATAAAAGTGTTCGCTGCCACATCCATGACCCGAGACTGAACCACATAATGGAAGAAGAGAACCAGCTCCCACAAATTGTCCCTTGGCCTCTACACCCATACTGTTGCATGCGTGCATGCGTGCACGTGCACGATTAATGAAGCGCGATTTAATTATTTTTTTTAATTTTAAAAAACACATTATCTGAACACAATGGAATTAAGTCATAATTCGGTAACAAATATCTGAGAAAATCCCCAGTAGTTGGAGGTTAAATAATGTATTTCCAAATAATATCTGGGTTGATAGAGACACAAAGAAAATATCTGAATTTAGTAAAAATCAAAAGTACCAAATATGGGAGTGGCACCTGACTTGAATCCCTTAAACCATAAAGGAAAGGTTGAAAATGACCCAAGCTTTTACCTAAGAAGGGATAGCTAAACCCTGAGTGGGCAGAGAGAGTGGAGAGCAGACATCCATGAGCTAGAAAAATGGCAAAATTTCAAAACCAAGCTGGTTCTTTGTAAGGATAAGCAAGGGCTCGGCTGTTCAAGGGGAGCCAAGGCATGATACAGATGATGGGTATCAGAAAGCAAATGGTATTGGTCCAGGTTCTAGACTGTTAAAGGATCCCTAGTACCATCAGGCAGGTGGCAGAGGAATAGGATTTAGTGCTTTTACAAAAGACCCAAGAGGGGCAGGTTTGCCCTCCCTACCATGGGAAGGAAGGTGCTGCTACCACCTTGAGCTTTGATTCTCAGCCTGTTATCGTGAGAAGTCAGTTCCTCTTGCTTATAAATTGCCTCATCTAAAGCATTTTGTTATGGCAACGCATAGAACCTAAGAAAGAAATAAAGGTAAGCTCTGCCTTCCAGGGCCATTTCCTGCAGTAAGAAGACTGGGTCACTAGAGTCCCATCAGTTGTGTGAGGCAGTACGTGAAGGGATTTTACTCTTTTTCTATCCCAGCCCATGGCACGGGTGCCACCCATGCTGGAGGCAAATCTTCTCCATTTTATTTGTGACTTACACACCAGACTCCTTTGGATGCCTCCTCTTACCCAAAAGGGACACTGTAGGTATCCCATAATCCAATTAGGCTCACACCCACATTTTACAAGTCAGAGTTACAGCCCCAGCCTGTGGCAAAGTGAGACTTCTCAGGTTAGGGTTCCCACTAGGGACCATTGGACAGAACTGGGTGTTGGTCTGAGTTCTGATTATATGGATCAGGGAGAATAGGAATGAGATGTACCCAGAAGAAAGCAACAGGGCATGAAACCAGAGGTTGCCGGCCACCTCAAGAACTCACTGGGACCCCTCAGACCCTCTAGGGATGATCAACAACTTGTCCATGCATATCCCTGTCCCTCACCCACAGGCTGCACTGCTTGCTATTAGCTGAATGCTGTCCCACACCCATCACAGAAGCCCCCAGTGCCACTGGGTTTTGAGACAGCATCTATGAGGAGGCCGTGAGGGTGGATGAGATGAGACAGCTAAGCCATGTCACTCCACATGCCTGAACGGCAGACACGTGAAGACACGGAGAGCTACAAGAAGTAGCTGTCTGCACGCCCGAGAGAGACCACTCCAGTTTCATGACCAGGGCCTCGGGCTCTGCAGCTGTGAAGAGCTGAGTTTCTGCTGTTTAGGCTGCCTCGTGTGTGGGACTTACTTATGGCATCCCGCAAAGATGACACACTGCACTCTTCACCTCTGTTCATCCCAGAAATACAGCAGCATGATCTGGTGACACACTTGGTGGCAGTCTCCCCACGTCTGGTGTCCTGCACTTAGCCACTTGGGTGGCGGCAAGCTCTTGCATGCTTGTTGCCTGCCTCGACAACTCTTCACTGCGTCAAACCTTTTAACCCTTGGACTCTGTCACTGCCCTGTAGGAGGAGCAGAGGGCCATTTGTCTACTTTACGGGTTGGACAGGGAGGTGCCGCAAAAGCATTTTGGCGTCTGGCCTTCAGGAGCAGAGCAGGAGGCCATCTTTAAGAGCAGCTCTGACCTCGGTTGCTTTTGACTTCCTGGCTTTTCTGCTCCCTTCTCAGGAAAGAGCTCTCTGAGAGAGGGGATGTGGGCTGCTTCTGTCTGTCTGCCTGCCTGCCTACCTCTCTGTCTCTCTCTCTATCTCTTTCTTTCTCCAACTCCTGCCTTCATTTTTCTCTTATTACACGGGCCTATTACTTTCCCCAAAGATCTTAGGATTAATAGAGATACATTGTAGATACAGAACAGAGAAGAGAGGGGGAAGGAACTTGTGAAAAAAAAAAATGAAAGGGACATCCCAGAAGACATGGCAAGAGCGCTGCAGCACGGCAGCAACCCTCCCCTCCCCACCTCAATCCTGCAACATCTAAGAACCATGTCCTGAAGGGCTCCAGAAGGATCCCATGCAGACACCACGGTGGGTTTGCTTCCCACCAGCAGAGGCAACACCTTAACACATGGCGTGCACATGGCCGCAAACCCATGCTCCGTGTGCAAGCTTGCCCTTCCTCGAGCCTGTGGGTCTGTGTGAGCTAAAAAGAAAAAAAAAATCTGTTTGGAATCACACAGAATTCCTGGGAAAATTTCAACTCTCACACCCCATTGTCTTCTGGCGCCGGCTCACATCTTCTCGCCGTGAACACGTAGAGGGCCTGTAGTCAGCCCTATTTTGGGGATCTGGCGATTTGTACTGTTTGTGGAGGGTCCATTGTTCGAGAGCTGCTGAGCATGCAAATCTGGGCCACGGGAGGATGAGCTCCGCCCCCAGCCCCCACTTCACTCTCTTCAGCAAAGTGAGCATTTTGCTGTCTGGGGACCAATCCACTCTTGGTGGCCGGGGTTGGCAGAGTTTCTTAAAGCATGGCAGGGGGCACAGGGCAAAAACAGCTTTGACTGGGCTTGGCACCAAGGCAGGAAAACACACTTTGCAGAGTAGAGGTGGGGTGCAAGGGTTATCTAAGGGGGGCTGAAACATGGGATTTGAGCCCAAGACTAAGTGGAGAGGTTCCAAGAGGAATGCTGTTGTGCCGGGGACTTGCTGCACTGTCATGGGAAGCTCACCTTGGGCTGGCTTGACCCCAGGAGGAATAAATAATGGGGACAGATCCCCTGTCATGTTATGGCATGTCATAGATCTTCGCAAATGCACAGAAATCTGGAGGAACAGAGCAAGGCTCATGATCAAGCTGAGGCTCTGCATTGACCCTAAGCAGCTGCCTCTGTCTGTCTGTCTGTCTTACTTGCTTCTCTCTTTCTCCAGGGTCTCTTGAGGCCCAGGCTGGCCTTAATCTTGCCTTATAGTTAAGGATGGCCTTGAACTTGCAATCCGACTTCCTCCACCTCCCAAGGGCCGGGATTACAGGCATGTACCATCTTGCCTGTTTTATGCAGTGCTGGGGATGAATCCCGGGGCTTCATATGTGCCAGGGGGAACACTCTACCAACTGAGCAACATTCCCAACCCATTCTGGCTCTCTCTAAAGTGTGTACTGACTCTCCTCTGACCTTCCTCCCAACCCCGAACCATAGTTCTAAGACTCATTTCACTCACCCAGAACCTGCTCTCTGGGGTGAGCACAGCCTGGGTCCTGAGAGTCTGTTTTGTGTGGGATATGCACAGGTAAGGGTTGATGCCATGGGACTTTGTGCCAGCATGACACTTGGTGCTGCACACAGCTCCCGGGAAGCAGATGCCCTGGGGTGGGTACTGACCAGAGTTCCACAGGGGCCTTGCCTGGAGGAAATGCACAGGATCAGTGGAACACCACTTAATGGAAGAGAGCCAGGAGGCGACAGAGGCATTCTAGGCAGAAGCATAGCAAGCCTAAGGGTGGTGACGAGGCAAGGCCTGATAGTTTGAGGGACAGTGAGAGATGTGTTGGGTGGCCAGACAGGGGCCTGGAGCCATAGTCAGCAACAGCCTCTCTGTCCCCTGAGAGTAGAGTCAATCCCCTCATGGTCTCTGGTTCCTTGTCTGCAGATTCAACAGAGGGACAAACATATTTTTAAAATATGTGCCTCTCTACTGAGCATGGGCTAACTTCATCTTATCATTACTTCATAACGGTACACTTCCACACTGTGCACCTGACATTCCTGCTGTATTATTACTATTGCTAAGGATACGGAGATGATCAAAGTAGGTTGGGCGGGGCTATACACCTGTATAGAAGGGACTTGAACATCTTAGATTTTGGTACCTAGAGGTCCTGGAGACAATCTTCCACTACTACTGAGGTTGTACTGAGAGGCACAGGTCTCTGGAATGAACTCCCTTCAAAGATGCATGACCCAGCCAGCTTCCCACCCAACCAGCTTCCCTGAAGAAACAGCCTTTGTCTGGGCATGAGATTCAGAGCTGCCTAACTCCCAAGAAAGAATCAGAGTTGGGTGTAGAGACAGGATCCCACTGTTTCCATGCACACGTGGCTTTTCCGGCCACTGCCTCAGTTCCTGTCCTATGATTTGGGGTAAGGGTCCAAATGCTACCGTGGCCCTGATCCCTAATTTGTGTCTGCTCTCATTTTCTAGAGTAAGTTTCCAGATCCACCTGAAACACATCTGTGCTGCCTGGAATCCTCTTCTAACAGGTAGTAAGTCTTGGGTGTGTCTGAGAGAGTGTTCAGATGGTTGGAGTGAAGGATGAGGACAGCTATGAGCATGCCACACCAGATTATAATCCATGTGTGCATCTCATCACTTAATTCTTCTCACAGGTTGGTAGTGTAGGCAGGAATGGGATGTATTCCTGTGCCTCGGACCCTGCTCCTCACACTAGCTGCTCGGGGATCTAGAACCTCTTCCTGAGTCACCTCCTGTGTCTCCTGTCCTTTGTCCCCACAGCCTGGCCTTCACACTCATTTGTCCATTTTTCCTGCTGGGAAAGTTCCTTCTAACAGCTGGTACTCTTTATCAGGGCCAGGCCTGGGTCTTGCATCCCCTAGAGGCCTGCCCTGCACTCTCAGGGCATCAAGTCCTGATGCCCCGGCTTTCATCTGGCTTCCAGAACAGCCTCTGGAAGCACTGCTCTTGGGGACCTTGGGGACATGGAGGATAGCTGCTGGTGAAGCCCTTCTAGCAATCTGTACCAAGCACAGCCTAGGCACAGGGGACACAAGAAGCTTCATCTAAGACCCATCCCACTGTCCAAGAGGTAATCTTAGGCACCCCTGGCCCCTCCAGCTTGCCTGCTACTCAAAGAGGCAAAGGGGGGGTGTCCCAGACCCTGTCAGACAGTGCACCCCTCTTCGCACTGGAGGATCGGCTGGCCACCTGTTGTTAATCTGGCCTGATAACCCATCCTGCACTGTGTCAGCAGTTCAAAAGGGCACTGTTAGGATTTTTTTTTGCCGACTTCAATTAACATGAGATTTCAGAGGCCTCTCTGATCACATTTCATCTGTCATAAGTCAGGAACAAAACAGACAGACTCCAGTCGAGAGGAGGAAGGAGTTTATTGCAAACAACAACAACAACCAAACAGACAGTCTGGGCTGCACCCGGCAAAGGGGGTGCTGGGAGCATCAGCTGCCTCCGCCCTTGCATTCTTCAGACCCTCTCAGCTCTTCAGCCCCCTTCTTCCCACATTCCTCCCTGCTCCAAAAGATGTAAGTGCAATAACTTACTTTAAAAGAAAAAAAAGTTTCTTTTAATATTTTGCTATAACGTAGTTACATGATGGTATAGGCAGTAAAACTTTATGGAACGGACCTCAATTTTTTTTTACATTTTTCTGAAAATTTAATGTATTTTAATATTTATATATATATATATATATATTTGAATGTTCCACCCCAGGCCATTAAGCTAAAGTAAAAGTTGCATTTATACAGGGTTAAAATATCTTACAAGAACAGCGAGTATTGGTTGAGGTTCATGTTCCATCTCTCAGCTTTCTCTCTCTCTCTTTTTTCTGACCACTGCACACCCAAACAGGTTATTAGACACTGAAAACGGTCCTCAAAATCAGTAGTATACAGGCCTAGCTCTATGTATAAGTGAAGGGGGAAGAAAGGAGAGGGAAGGGAGGGAGACACCGTCCAGGGAGAGCTCCTCCCTGGGGCATCCCTGCAGCAAAGTGGGGCTGAACGAAAGAAGCAGTAGCCTGCCCTGCTTCGAAACTGTATGGTTATGAAGTAGCACCCTGGGGCCAGATTGCCTGCCACTCTCTCTCCCTCCCAGGTCTGTTTGTCTCTGTGCCTGACAGTCAGTGTCATTCCCATTGACCTGGAACCTCAGGTTCCTCTGAGTGCTCAGAGATGAATCTGCCCAAGGACAACACGTGGTGGTTTCCATGGAACCCTTCCTGTCTACTCAGGGAGCTGGGCCATCAGAGCTGTGTCCAACATGAGCCTGGCAGTGTGTGCTGGGGAACCCATGGATCTCGCTGTGCCTAAATCCCCATGCATCCTGCTCCTCAAAGGTGGACACGTGGTTGTGAGAACTGAGATCCAGGAAGAATTGAAACTCAGAGAAACACTTGGAGGCATGCCTTTCTGCCCTAGATTCTTGACACCCTGTGCTGTGAAGGGGAGGGGGCTTCTGGGGAAATGAGCTCTCTCCAGGCTGCCAGGACTAGGTGTGGCCACTTACTGTGCTGTCAGTCAAGGCTGGCCTCAGCTCACTCAGCTTGCTCATGAAACAGTGGCCCCCTCCCAGCAGGTACCGTTTCCCCTCCTCATCTGTGCCTTTGGAAGATCTGTCTCTCTAGGAAGCCAAGTTGCCGCAGAGAGCTTTTCTACTTGCCTAGCACCATGGACACTAAGACAGACCCACTAGGGACAACAGGACCCCACAGTTCTCTTCTGGAGGACTGGGAAGCTGAGGAGAGAGGTGAGAGATGAGGAAAGTACTGTGGGAGCTCAGCACATCTCCAGCTGCCCCAGGAACCAGCTGAGGCCAAGGCCCTCCAGAGCAGCCTAGGAGAAAAAGGCTCCAGCTGGAGAGGTGATAGAAGGCACATCAGTTCTTGGCTGTGCTGGAGAGCAAAGGGCTTTTTCTATTTGCCTTTTTCATTCTGAAGCTTGTGGGCTGGAATTTGCCTGACTTGGTCTAGCCTGGCCAGAAATAAAACTTGGAGAAGTTATGTCATTCCCTTTCAGAAGAATCTATCAAAAGCCTTCTGACGGTTCTTTTCTGAGCCGTCCTGGTTCTCTCTTTGTACTGATTATCTAGATATGGACACATTTCCTTACTTGCCCTTTCCCAGCCATGACATCCATGAAGGAGGACCCCCCAAAGAATTGCTCCTGCTCTTAAGTCCTTCCTTCTGTTACCAGATTCTGAGGGAGTGGGTTATTTCTGGAGCACATGTAAGACAGACCTAGATCCCCAAACATCTGAAACATTAGGACTGAGCCACTAAGAACACTGAGTTCAGTACCCAAGACCTTTTTTGCCTTTCTAAGATTCAAGAACTAGTTTCTGAAGAGGCCTGACTAGGGGTGACCAACCTAGAGTCTACATTCTAGTGAGGGTTTAGCCTGCCTACATTCCAGAGCAGATGAGGACCCAAACAGGGTGTGGCGATCCCCTCTCACCCACTGAGACCTAGGGCAGATGCTAGCCAGGCAGGGGTCCTCAGTCCTCAGCCCAACCTGAGAGGTCATTCGGTGAGCAGAACCCTGGGCCAAGTGGGCCAAGCCCACCTCATGGACAACAGTCAAGGCAAAGGTAGAAAAAGCAAGTGTGTCTCCTCAGGAAAAGGCCACCTGCTTGAGGGACCTACCTCAAGGGTGGTTCTGTGCTCCAGCTCAGGTGAGGGCTAGGGCCACTTCAAATCCTAGTTCCTAGCTCCAGGTCAAGTCAGGTAGAGAGGGACCCCCTTCCTTCAGATAGGGTACTGGCTTCGGGAGGATTTCCTGCCATGCAGAGTGGGCCTGGTGGGACTTGATGGGAGGCTTTCCTGAGGCCAGCCAAGGCAGATATCGTGGCCCCTGGGGAGGAAGTAAGGATAGGATATCTAAGAGGGTGTCTAGGGCAACTGGAAGGCAGCTCTCCTTTTAGCTTAGAGGGGCACCGATCTCCACCTACCCTGTGCGGGAAGCTCCAGCAGGCACGACACTGTGGCAGGGTGGTGGGTGGACGTGGTTAGTCTGAGCATAGAAAGGCCATCCTGGCTGGAGGCAGGGCTGGTCACATGTCCTCTGCTTCAGCTGTGGCCCTGTGCTCTAGCTTATGTCTTCCAAGGTATAAATTCCTCCAGCCCGGGAGACTGCCCAGCAGCAGTCACAGTGAGTGACCAGGAGGGAGAGGACAAATACCTCGACTCCTCCTAGAGGGACCCTGAGGAGGCTGCAGTGCTGACCTTTCACTGCAGAAGATGCCAGGTGGTACCCAGGAGAGCTTCTCTGATTCCTGACGGCCATGTATGGTGGTGGTGGTGGTGGTGGGGAAGTCTGTGTCCTTGTCTCCTTTCACACCTGGCACCCCGTCCGCACAGTGTCAGCCAGAACCAGTTTCAGGAGCAAAGGCTGGCCCATGCCTCCTCGGGGCTTGGCCATCCTTATGGGAGGACAGCAAAAAGAGTCTTTCAGCTCTGTCCTCTCATCTTCCCTCCCAACTTTCCCAGGTGTATCCATCATTGTCAAGCTACAGTCACAAGGATCACAGGATGGGTGGATGATCAGATGCCCAGATGCAGAAGGTGGCGTGTCAGGCACTTTCAGGGAGCAAAGGGAGTCAGGGACCAATTCTGCATGGCAGCTGGTTACTTAAGACCCACAGCCATAGGCCCAGTGAGCAGGGGACCCCACAGAAAAAAGGAAGGTTAGACAAGGCTGAACTGTTGAAGCCACTAGGTCTGGAAAGGAGCCTAACTTTGACTTAAGTTAAATGGAAGGGGTGAAGGGACACAAAAAGAGACAGGGCCTCAGCTTACATGATAAAAAGCTACACACAGGGCCACCTGGCTTTTTCCACTGCCAGTGGCAGGGAGCATGGGTCATGGCCTCAGAGCCAGGAGGGAGCAAGGGCCTATTGCCCCCTCCCTCCCAGCAGTCCCTGGGGCCTCAGACTTGAGGTGGCTGAAAGTGCTGAGGGCCAGGCCCCTGGGCCAGGCCGGGTTCCTAAGAGGAGAGTCAGGTGGGAGCTGGGGTCCTGGAAAGCAGGGACGTGACCAGGGCCCCAGGGAGGGGGATGACATCAGGACTGGCAGGGGGGGCCCTGTCATGTGGCCCAAGAGATGGCTGCACTGTGCTCCTTGGCCTTCATGCGCAGTGCAGCAATGCTCGAGGTCTTGCGGTCTGGCTCGCCGTTCATCTCGTAACCATTGAGGCCCGGACTGAGGCCAGCTGCTCCAAACAGGCTGCCCATGTGCGTCTGGCCCACATGACTGCCAGCCCCAGAGACACTCAAGAAGTCGGAGACGCTGCTGGCACCCGAGCCAGGAGGATGAGCATGAGGGGACATACAGGCAGGCACCGGGTCACAGGGGACCACACAGGCTGGCACTGGTGAGGCAGCCCCATTGTTGCCAATCCAGGACGGGTTCTGAATCTGGGGGCAGTAAAGGGAGAGATGTCATTGACCAGCTGGGAGGACAGTGATATAGAAGGGGCTCTCGCCCTTTGCAGCTGTCCATCATCACAATGAAACCATTCTTAGTTATGTAACACTAGAGATGCCTGAGGACCAGTGGAGGTGAGTTTATGTTTTAAAATTTCAATTCCTGGGGTAGATCCATACCGGACATTCAGTAGCAAGGATTGTATTTCAAACTGCCTCAGGGTCCAGTAAAAGCATTGTTCTGGATCAACCTGAGAGCACCATGTGGGGAGGCACAGGCTCTGGTGTGGGGTGATGTGAGGATAAGTGAGGGGAACAGGCATCTGAGTGCTCCCGTAGGCCCAGGTCAAGGCCTAAGGCTCCAAGACAGAACCCCTGAGGTTTCCCAACTAGTCCAGCAGTAAAAAAGTGGCCCAGCCCTCAGGTGGAGTTCAACTGCATACCTTCTCTTTCACCAAAATGACTGTTGTTCCTTTTCTCTTCCTAGCTCCCACTTCTCGCCTCACCTTCCTCTGCTCTCTAGGCATCTCCAAGGAGGAAAATCTGGAGTGCAGAGGTCCCCTTTGAAGAGAGAACTGTGCTCCTCTAAACAATACAGTCTAGGTTCTTCTCACCTGCCCAACCTAAGGTCTGGAAAGAACTCAAGGCAGCCTTTAGAAACAGTGGGTCCTAAAGGTCCAGAGGACTGTCTGCAGACTGACTATGCTCTGTTTCTGGTCCCCTGTTTCCCACAGAGGAAACAATTTAGTCACTACCCTCTCTTGGAAATAGTCTAGAACCTGGAGTTTGTGGGGCAAGTGGAAGAGATGGAGTGGTGTCTCTTTTTGGCTTTCTTTCTCTAGCTCTGAGCTCAGATAGCAGCCAGGAATGGGGGGGGGGCAAGGAGAGAGCAAGAGAGTGAGAGTGAGAGCTGGAGGTGGCCCCGGGAGAACAGAGGGAGAGGGGAAGAAAAGCATTAAAGAATGTGGCCAGAGGTGAAGCTTATGTTCCAGACACCCTGCATTCCTCAGCCTCGCCTCTAGGCCTGCCCTCTGACCCTCAAATCCTGGGGGAGGTGGAGAAGGCACAGAGCTGGCCCAGGTCAGAGATGAGATGGGCAAACATGGGCTGTTTGATAACATCACAGCCAGTCACACTTAGGGGCACTGGTGCTACTGGCTGACAGAGACTCTCAAGACTTAGAGCTGGGGCGAGGCAAGGTGCGAGCAGGAAGGAGGCATGGACAGAGAGAGGTCATGAGAAAGATGCAAGGTGGTGCACACTCAGCCAAGAGGGCAGCTGTCCAGGTGCCCTGGGTGCCTGACGTCACTCACAATGCTCCTTGATCTGGCTGATGGACAGGGAGGAGAGAGGAGGAGAGACAGCAGGCGGATACCTTCCAGAAACTGTGACCCTAGACCCCACAATGGCATAATAGAAGAGCTGCACCGGATACCTATATTGTGCCCAATCTATATGCGAAAAAGCTGGGCTTCAGAGAGCTGGCGACACCCACGAGGAGAGCGAGGCTGCAGGACTCTGAGGAACCTTTGCCTCGGGCCCAGATTTTCATGTGCATTCCAACCTGGCCACAGGGTGCCCTGAAGGACAGCCAACACCCTGGAAGCCCCTGGTCTTCCATCAGCCAGATGCTTGCCACAGCAGGGTACAACACTGTCCCAACATTGGAGGTCTCTCCCAGTGGGGGGGCAAACAGGCACAAGCCTGCAGTCTCTGAGCCTAGCCTCCTCCCTCCTCCACTGTCTCAGGTCTAGGGTCAGAGGAGACATCAGGGCAGGAGGACGTACCTGGGCATAGTTCTCGGCTCGGGTGAGGAGGGGCAACTCATAGGCCGTGGAGAAGTGGGTCCGGACCTGCTGCATCTGTCCGAAGCGCTCCCTCTTCCTCCACTTGGCCCTCCGGTTCTGGAACCAAACCTATAGGACAAAGGTCACAGGGGTCAGGCCTTGCTCTCAGTCAGGGAACACTGCTCCCTGACTCCACCAGCCAGGTGTGTGTGTGTGTGTGTGTGTGTGTGTGTGTGTGTGTGTATGTGTGTGTGTGGGTGTGTTAGGGGCACAGAGAGTCAACCTCTACCTTTCACTTTTTGGTATGAGGACTAGTAGGATTGTCAGAGTTAGGAAGGCCACCTATACTCCACTGACCATCAATGTGAGTTGGGGCCTAACTGTGTAAGCTTCAGATTCCAGAATAGGCAAGTGTCGCACATGTATAACACACACACACACACACACACACACACACACACACACACACACGTGCACATAAATGAGGAGACAGAGAAAGATCATAAGCCATTTGTCACTGTTCTTCCTCACACTGTGTGTAATCTGCTAAGGGTTCACAGCAACCAGCAAAATTCCCATCAAGCTTTAAAGACCTTTCTAGAGATTTCTTCCCTTAGTAACTCCTGACGGCTTGTGGGTCTCTAGGACCTGTTAATAGATGCAAATCCAGAGTGTACATCTCCCAGAATCCTTTTGAGAGAAACCAAGAACTCAACTCGGGTCTCCTCCCTTTGTGCTGCGGTGGGTGTGGCCGCCTGAAACAACCACAGTCAGGAAAAGGTGCATGTGGAATGGGATTGTGGAGGGCTGCATACACCAGCTGAGGGTGTCGGGAGGGGTAGGGGTGCCTGCTGGTAATGCCTATGCAGGTAGATTGCTGTTGGACGGGTAGTGCCTGTCACTGAGGCACCTGTGCTGAGTCATTGACTTGACCAAGCGCTCAGCTGCTCAGCCGGGAGAAAGTGTGGAGACTCTGGTGGCGCAGCTGAGAACACAAGACATGATGACGAGGACAAGGGCAAGGGCCGGCTGCTGCCCTACAGACCTGACCTTAACTGGTTGTGCAGTCAGAAAGGACAAGAGAGGAAAAGAGTGGGAAGAGAGAAGACCAGGTGCCCCTCAGAGGATGATACCAGCAGCTCATTTCCCAGAGGCTCTGTAGATTCAAATGTGTACAGAGGCATGGTTCAGTGATATATACTCAGTCTGTGGCCTGCAGGCCACATGCACCCCAGGATAGCTATGAACGCAGCGCAACACAGAAGTATAAATTTGCTTAAAACACACACACACACACACACACACACACACACACACACACACACATATACACACACATATATTGACTTAGTAACTCAATTGCAGGGTTCTCAATTGTGAGCTTTGTTGATATGTCCTATCGTGATGGCAAAAGGTTGGATGGGTCTGTGTCGCTGTGGTCTGTTCCCAGGCTGTGAGAAAGACGTTATTAACAGGGCAGGGCAGGGGGCTCCCCTAGCCACAACGGTCAGCTGAGCTTCTGGGATGGAGACCAGAGTAGCCTCTCCACCATCCTCCCTGAGAGCACCCAGGCTCCTCAAGAACCATGTTTGAGAAGAAGAAAAGAAGGGTGTGGGCCTTTCCCGGACTATGCCTGTGGAGCTTGGAGGGGTGTCTTTGAAAAGAAAGGCCTGTGGTGGTGCCTGCACTGCCAAGAGCCTCAATTTCCACATCCTTAGGATAGGGCTGAGGTCTGGGCTGACGTCAGGGTAGATGGTGGGGACAGCAGATGGGAACTCAGCGTGAAGTTTCTAGAGCAGTCAAGTTGGCTTTATATGGCTCCTGACCTCATTCTCTTGGGGAAGGAAAGTGGTCAAAGGCTGTGGGATGTGTGTCTCATTAGTGTTGGGTGGGGAAAGTGTTCTTCTCCAGCTCACTCTCCTAATCTGACATATATACATGTGTGTGTGTATATATATATATATATATATACTATGCATTTTATCTGATTGTGTGTGCATGCACTCACATATATGTGCACATACATACACACACACAGAGTGTCCTTCCTGTGACCTCCCTGGAGACCAGCCCTCTCCAAGGCTCAGGGTCTCAGTCCCTGCCCCGGAATCTGTGGGAGGGGTACTTCTACTTGGAGCAGCCCTGGGGTGCAGGCCCAGGAAGCCCACTGGGAGTTAAAGGAGCACATAGGGGCTCCTCTGCCTGGTGAAATGGGATCCCCCTTTATCAGCAGCTGTGGTGGGGGCTGGGGCGAGGCGAAAGGAGTCAATCAGAGGAGGTTGTTTTCATTTCATGTTTAATTTCCTGCAGATTGAGCTCAGCCTTCTGCTCCATCCTCAGCCTCCCAGGGTTTTTCTGGAAAGGAATTGGGGGAGGGGGCGCTAGAGACACCAAAATGTACAGCTCCTGCTTCTTCCTCTCTTTGGGGGTGGGGCTGAGGCAAAAGAAGCTGCTGCTGCTAAGGTCTTGTGTCTGTGGGTTCTGGGTCCCTTTTGTGGTGGGCATGTAGAGGTGGGTGGTGTCACGGAGGGCTTGTGAAACTGAGGACCCAGGAATGGACCTAGAGCATAAATCTGGCAAAGCGACCAAGAATTAAGGGAAGGAGTGGGGTGAGGGATGGTATACGGTTTTGAGGGAAGTGGGGAGCCCCATTATCTGGGAAGGAGTAGCCAAGAGCGTTTTCTGGGGGAGGGAGTACAAAAGGTCACGATAAGACTTATTTGATAGAGGTGGTGGGAGATGGGAACAGAGTGGAGGAACTTGGATCAGTGGGGCCAGCCTACCCTGGACCTCCTTCTCCGGGCTGTCCTTTGTCCCTATCCTGAGTTCTACCTTTTGTGTCCCCCTGAAGCTGTTGGCCTGGCTGGCATGGTACCTGATGGCCCCCTCTGTGCTCCGATATATGTTTCTGTGCAGAGACTTGTCCTCCCATCTCTGACCCCCAGCTGTGTCTCAGGTCCGCGCAACCGCAGGCTTGTCTCAACAGCCCCAGAAAGAGAGCTCACTGAGGCCCCTGTTGTGCTTCTGTGCCCAGGACCACCCCATTCCCAGCCCACCCGGTCCTGGCCCGCTCAGCACAGGCCTCTCTGGAGGACAAGGCCATTCAAGGAACCGACTGTCTTGGAGGAGGCCTCTCTAACCGCAGCCCATCTGGGGCCGGGGTGGGGTGGCCCAGGGCGGGGAGGCCTCAGTCTCATTGTCTTCAGACACCAGCTGTGGAGATTGGAATCCCAGACAGCAGAGAGAGGCCCCGAAGGCCCCTGGAGCAGGGCCAGACCCCAGGCTGCTTCCCATGAAGGACCATCTTGGGACCATCCCATTGGCCCCTCCCTGTCTTTGCCATCACCAGGCACCTGGCTTGCCATCAGCAGAGTGTGGGTCCTGCGGGTCCTGAGCAAACCCCACAGAGGCAGGCAAGGCAGTTCTAGTATACCCCATGCATACACACACACACACACACACACACACACACCACCCGGGGCACTGCCAGGCTCAGAACTCAACCTAGAGGCTTGACACACATGGAGATCCCAGCCAGCCTGCTGCCTTTGTACAGAGAAAAGACTAGGAACAATCTGGCTATGTGCCGTGGACCAGCAAGCTGAAGTCAAAGAGCACTGGCCCCGAGCTGGGAACCCTGGATTCCAGGCTCAGCACGCCTCTGCTTGGCTGTGAACTCTGGGAAATCATTTTTTCTTTCTTTCTTCCTCATCAAAATATGGTGTAGCCTTTTCTGCACCGCTGTTCTGTAATTCTATGACCTTCCTATCCTATAGGAAGATAGACAGTGCATTAGTTAGAGTTTCCCTTTATACGTTGGCTGACAGGAAGCTCAAGGCTGAGTGTGGACAGCAATGAGCCTTAGCCTGGTGACTGTTCTTTTTTTTTTTTAATTTCTATATTTTAGCATAATCACCTCATTTTTTGACACTGTTTCTGATCTTAGGCTGAAAAAAATAAAAACCCTCTAGTTGTAAATTTTCTCAATGTTTTGGAAGTAGGCCTTTGTGTGTCTCTGTATGTCAACAAAGCACTGTCCTGGCTGTAGCTCAGTGACACAGAAACACTTGGGCTGTATCATCCTCTGTTTCCTGCCTAGACACTCATGTTCGAGTAAGAAGTGTGTGTAAGTGTGTGTGTGTATGTGTGCGCGCACGCGCAGATGCACACAAGTGCACACGGATAAGCAGAAAGCAGGCTCACCCCACCCTAACGTGCTACCTACCTCCTGGCACTGTGAGCTTGCAATCAGCGGTCCCTTTCTCTACCCTTCCTGCTCTGCCTCCAGCCCTGGCCTGGAGCTGAGGCTGGATTCTGGGGATCCTCTGGAAGCTCATGTCTTAGGTAGGTGAGGTCTCATGGGGGTACAAAGAGGGTGCTGGCATGGCAGTAAAGCCCAGCTGCTTTGCCATTCATCAAACCGCAAAACTGCAGCATGCCCCAGTAGCTACAGTGTCTAAAGGCTGCAGGTTTCCTGTTATGCTCTATCTGCCCAGGCTAAATGGTAGATGCTTCAGTGTGTTAAACAGGGCTCAGGGAAGCTGATGGGCACCCAACTGATGCCCGAGGAGAACCACCAGTAGAATAAAAGCTACAGTGTCCACAAGTCTGCTTGGGACCAAAGGGCTCTTTGTTCTGACAGTCTGGGGCCCAGACCACAGTGCCGCGGCCATTAAAAAGAAACAGTCTTGGGCCATCAGGATGGTTCAGTCTGTAAAGCACTAGCCATGGAAGCGAGAAGACCTGAGTTCGAACCCCTCGGACCTACTGAGAAGAGCCAGGCATAGTGGCATGTACCTGTAACCCGAGCGCTGGCTAATGGGGCAGGCAGGAGGCTCAAGGGCCACCCAGTATAGGCAAATTGGCAGGTTTCGGGTTTGGAGGGAGAAAGACCTTGTCTAAGATTGGGAGCGATTGCAGAAGACACCTCGTGCTGGTGTGTAGTGACAGGGCCATGTTGCTTTACGTTGTGTTGTGCTGGAGTTGAACTGACCTGCGTCTGGCGGGTTGTGCTGTGGCTGTGTTAGGTTATAGCGTGCTGAGTTGCCTTAAGTTGGATCTGGGTAGTGATGGTGATAGGGCATTGTATTGGCCATGATGGCCAGGGGACTCCTCGGAAGAGGTGTAGTGACTGAGCCCTGAAAGATGTAGGAGCCAGCTCTCCTAGACAGGCATGGGGCTGTAATGCGTGCTTTTACTATGGGGTTGTGAATATCTGTGCCTTGTTCCATCTCCAGCCAGAGAAATGGGCCTCCCAGGAGAGTCCTGCCATCTTGTCCTTCGGTTAAGACACGGTACTCACAGATAGCAGCCTTCTTACCCCTCCAGGGGCCCTCCCTCTCCCGCCCTCACCTTGCAGAGCTGATTATAGTGGCTACATAGATCTACTATAAGGAGGCTTTGGGGTAGCCAGGGCCTCCCCAGAATAGACCACAGTAGTCAGTAGATCCCAGTTTCAGCTGGAGGCCGGGGCCTGGGGGGCCCTGTGGAGCCCACGCTCAATCATTCTGGCTGACCTGCACGCGGGCCTCAGTGAGGTCGGTCCTCATAGCCAGCTGCTCCCTCGCATACACATCAGGGTAGTGGGTCTTCTGGAAGACCTTCTCCAGCTCCTCCAGCTGGTAGCTCGTGAAGGTGGTTCGGTTCCGCCGCTTCTTGCCCTTGTTGCTCTCAGAGTCGGTCTTTTCTAGGGGACTTGGGATATCAGCACTAGCCCGGTCCTGGGGTCCCTTGGCCCCTGTTTCCTTCACACTGAGGTAGCTGTTGTCCATGCCCACGGGTTCAGAGTCAGGGGGCAACTCCGGCTCGCCCAGGTTGCTCTCTTTGGCTGAGGAAGAGAAAGAAAGGTTAGAAACTTGAAGCCAGCAACGGAGAGGGGAGAACACTCTTCCCTCACAGAGGCACACTGAGTACCAGGTCTGGAGACTCAAATTTCATACCCTTACTTTTCATCAACATACTGGGTGGCTTTGAGCAAGCTCCTCCCCCCCCCCCCCCCCCGCGGCATCATCCTAGAATGGGTCCTTTCTGGCACCAATGCCATGTAGCTCTGGGTTGGCCAGTCTGACCTTGGTGACTTTCTCCCCATGCTATGGATGTGAGACTCCTCCCCTCCCGGAGTTCCTTTGGCGAAAATCTCTTTGGGCATGGACCCAGTGATTAGCTGACACAATACCGAGGCTCTCTTGGGTAGGTGAAAACTACTTTAGCTACACTGGATGTGGTGGGAAAGAGAAAGGCCAGCATTGAAGACACACAGTTTGCTCTCCATGGAATTCAACAGAGAAGCCTTGAAGACTGTCTCAGTACTTTAGTGTTACCCACTCCATCGGTAACACTGATCTCACCGCCTGCAGAGAAGCCTTTAGCAGGAGGGTTTCACTGAGGCATGGGTGCGTGCTGGGGTCCTTTTCCCTAGCAACACCTGCCACTGTCTACCACTGTTGTGCAGGCCCTCACCCCTGGGGATGCCACGGGGAACCATCAGAAACACAGCTCACAGCCTAGGCCCTGAATGCCACCTGCTGACACAGTGGTGTGCCCATGGTAGATTCCTGAAAGCTCAGAGCTACAAGGAACCAAGACAAGAAACGAGGTCAAGAGTGGGAAGGTGGAGACTAAGGTAGGGGTAGGAGCTGCTGGCCCATCCATCATCTGGGAAGACACGCCTGCCTCACCATAGCAGGGACCTCAGAGCCTGGGCACCAGTGCCAGGCACCAGATTGTCTGCCACACCTCTGCCTCTACAGCTCCACATTTCTAATGAACCCCTACATGTCTCGGTTTCCCCTTTATGAATGAAGATGCTTGCAGGGTATTTCTTATGGGTTGTGAGAAAGGACAAGGCACTCAGCCAGCCAGCTGTGTAGCCTTCCATCATTACTGGCTCCTGCTTCTGGCCTGGCCTTGCAGGCTTCCAGGCCCTGCCAGCACTAGTGGAGTATGACTTAGGACAAGTCCTCTGTGAGGAAGTCCCTGGGGGCATAGGCACATGTATAAAAGCACCGTGTCTCCAGATGTGGGGAGCCCCTTCCTGGCCATCTTCCTTATCTGAGACTTGGGGAGAAGGAGATCGGTTCAATGAGAGAATGGTTAATGAACTGTGGAGGGAGACTGTGGGAAAAAAAAAAATCCTTAAATACCCACAAGCTCCGTCCATTCATGATAAGCGTGTGTGGTTTGCATGAGCACTGTCCACTCTGATCCTCTGTTTCTTCTTCTGGAAACAGGTCCATGCAGTTTGCATTTTGGAACAGGATGCTGCCTCGAGCCTTGATTGTCTCATGCCACCCAGATTGGGGTGGGGGACTGATGCTTCAAGTTCACCAGCCTCCTTGTGAGCATAGGGAAAGGGAGAGGGACTCTTTGCTGTTGTCAGTCTCCCTCCAGCTCTGTGGCACTGAGGGAAGGGAGGAGAGAAGAGGGCCCAGAGTAGGCCTGGAAGTAGCTCACAGCCTCTATGCCACAGGGGTGGCTGACCCACCCAGAGGCATCACAAATGACAGCCACGTGAGCCCAGCTTACATATCGAGCCACGGCTTCAGTGACAGCACTATGCGGACTGCAGCTGGCAGCTGGGCCAAGAGCTTCCAGCAAAGATATTTATCTTCCTGGCAGACAAATAAGTTTTTTGTTTTTGGGGTTTTTTTTTTTTTTTTTTTTTTTTTTTTTAGAAAAGAAATCCCACCCAGCTCACCAAAAATAAACATTCCTCTTGTGCAACTTCCTGGCAGCCAGGCCAGGGAAGCAGCCGCCACCCCTCTTGGCCTTGCCCTGCTCCCCGGGCTCATCCTTGCTCCATGGACCCCAGTAGTGTCTTCAGGCATCCAGCCTGGAGCTGGAATCACCCCATGGGAATGAGGACCACTTGAGGACAGCTGCATAGAAACCAGGGTTGGAAGGACTAGCGCTGGCTTCTCATTTAAACTGAGGAAAAACAGGCTGGAGAGCAAGAAGAATATGTCTTAATTATCCACAGAACACAGCCTCCTGCTCCTGGGACTGCCCTACCCTCACCCATGGACATGGGACCTGTTTCCAGGGAGAAGAAATCCAGGGCCTCCCAGAAGTCCTGCTCCCGAGGACAGGGGACTCAGATGAAGTTTGAGGCACCCTTAGCATGGAGCCAGTTCTTGGCCTAGCAGAAGAGGAAAGCACACACAGTTTTCTGATGAGAACGAAGGGTCTCCTCTGGCTGCATCCAGTCACTACTGCACCAAGTGAGTGGGAGATGGGGAGGCAGCAAGGTGTGTGCCGAGATCACAGCCCCAGAAAGAGGGGCCTGCTCTGGGCCCAGGTCCTGTCCATTTGGTCGTGTGTGTGCATATGTGCGTGGAGGCCAGAAAGCAACCTCCAATGCTGTTTCAGGAACCAGCTACCAAGTTCTTGGACATAGGGTGTTTCACGGATCAGGGGCTTACTGTTCCACTAGGCTGGCTTGGCAGAGTACTCCAGGGATCCAGCTGACTTCACCTCTCAGAGGGGGGTTTCCAAGCACATCCCACCATGCCCAGCTGCTTTAGGTGACAGACACTTTATCAACAGAGCCATCTCCCCGACTCTCAAGGCCAATTTTACATTGATTTTGTATGTATGTATGTTTACCACGTATGTACTTGGCAGCTATGGATGATTGTGAGCCACGATGTGAGTGCTGAGAATCAAACCCGGGTCCTCTGCAAAGGCAACAAGTAGCCTTAACCACTGAACCATCTTTTCAGCTCGCCAATCTTTGTGGGTTTTAAAAATGATTTAAAACAGTTTTTAACTTTAAATGTATTTTGACCACATTACGTTTCTTCCCCAAGCCCTTCCAGACCTTCTCCCCATCCCTACCCACCCAATTTTACGTTCTTTCTCAAAAAAAAAAACCCCAAAACTCAATACAACCAAGAAAAGAAAATAAATTACCACCACACCCCAACCCCTCCCCAGACTGTAATCAAATGAAAGCATGTACACACACACACACACACACACACACACACACACACACACACACACA